CAATTAAAGAACATGCATAGTAAATCAAAAAGGTATCTGCTTTGCAGGGAATGAGAATGTAAGATCACAAAACATCAACTTGTTTTATAACTAAGCCAATCAGGTTTGGTCTTGGTTACTATCAGAATGGGGATCACCTGAGAATACACAACGGTGTCTGTCTTGTTGCTTCCTTGCAGGAAACAATCAATCATCGCTTTTAATTTTATGTATTTGATGTCTCTCACTGAACCTTTTCCTTACCCTTAAACAGGAATAATGTTGATGGAGGAAGGCAGTCTCCTTCAGCCCAGCTCCCACCACCTTCAGAAAGAGAAAGTCCTCATTTGGGTCCTTACTGGAAAGGAAATCTGGATGCTAGGGAAAGTTTTTATTTGCTGCTTCCTAGCATGGTTGCCACTCTGTATCTTCCACAGCAGGCATCAGGCTTGGGTATCTAAACTTTCTTATCTCCTCTTTTTAAACCAGAACATAATCAGACAGCACCATGCAGATTTTAATCTGACTATTGGTAAATGGTGCAAGAGGCAAGATGAAAATCGGTAGATGTTGCTGGACAAAAATAAAAAAAAAATAAATACCAGTGAACCAAGGAATCTTGCCCTTCTTATGGAACTGTCCTCAGCACTATAGCTAGAAGAGCACCAAATGTAAAAATCACAGATCATTCTAGATAATTTATTTTTTTCCTTTAAAACTATTGCTATTTTGACAGTCTTTCTAACCTTGTTAGAACACAATCTGTTTGCATGATGTAGAGAGAAACGCATTGCTTCTTTTCCTAAGATACAGCTGAGGTCAAAACAGACTCCATACCAGCACAGTAATATTAAGGAAGGCGTCCTCAAACCTAAAAAGGGGAAAATATTACATGATGGAGTGCTGGAAAGATCTTTTTCACCACGTGCTGTACACATCTCTAATGTGGTAAGGACTTCAAAATGACAGAACCCAGAGAGTTGGTCCTTCCTTGTGAAATCTGGCTTTAAACATGCCAAACTCAGAAGCACTGGTTTCACTGAACTGAGGCCAGGGAAGGAAAGATTTAATAACAGCCTCATTATAAGGTTCATTGTTGTAGGACTATTTAATATACAAGATTAACACATCTTATCTCCCACTTTCACTCAAACCTATTATACCCCTCATTAATACATGCACATTTCTACATCATTTACAGCACTCAGGAATCAAATATTACTGTCTGAAACAGGGTGTGTTCTGCTGCTCTTCCTGGTAATAGGCATTTTTTGCAATAACAGTACTCAAAAATAAGCCTCACAAAATTAGAGACATGGGTAGGTAAACTGGGCTGTCTAAAACTGGGAGAAACATAAAATAAAAATAATTAGTTCTGCCAACATTCTGGATTTCATTTCTTGATTTTGGTTCAAGATCAACAACCAGACCATCCAAATATTATATGACAGGAAACTTCTGCTTTCCCAACCTAACGAGTAATGGCATCCTTTCCTCCTGGCAATTTGAGATGTAGAATTAGTAAAGTGACCCACAGCTCCTCAAATTAAGAGGCATTTTAAAAGTCTTCAGATCTGGACAATCAGAGAAGAAAAGGAAGCTGTAAGGTAAGAACACCACAATACTTCCCCAGATCACACTCCTTTGTGTCCACAGACACAGCAGGGCAAGGCAGAACAATGTACCTTAAAATTACATGAAGGGGAGGAAAAAATATCCACTGCTATGTTCTCAGGAGATCAAAGGCTGCAGGTTGGCCCCTATTCCTGCAGGAACTGTTATGAGTTTGCAAGCATCTCAGGACAGAGAAAATGCACTTGTCTGGCAACTGAGCAGATCCAGGTGCCTACAAGCCCTCCTGTGTTCCCCTAAGCTATGGAACTGCTCTCCACAGGAGGCTGCAAATGTTTATAGGAAAAAACCTTAATTTCTGAAGCCACCCTATGGTAACAAGAAGGTTTCCAAATCAAATGGACATTACATATTGAGGAGAAAGGTAATGAATGACCTGGAATGGTTCTCCTGAGAAGTACTGATAGCAAAGACTTAACTTCCATGGGCCAAATGTATAGCTCCTAGGATTTTTTCTACTGTTCTGGGAGGTAAAGATGTTTACTCTGGCTAATTAATTTCATATCAGAAAAGGTAATTTGCTGGGACAGAGTGACCCATTTACACTGAAATTCAGGCTTTTTGGAACTGTCCACTACTTCAGGTAAAAACAGTCATGAGGAATTGGAAATTGCTACCTCCTGCAAGAAAAACCACTCATCCCTAAATCCTCACATTTATTACCACTAAAGAATACCTGACATTCTGGAGGTCTTCTTGGCCTCTTACAAGGAGCACACCAAGGTACACAGCTGATGTGCATGGACCACGGAAGTCCAAGGTATTGGTGGGGAAGAGAGGAAACCTTTTCCCCATAGCTATGACTCCTTTTTCCTCCCACTATAGTTCTCCACTCATCTTAGAGAAACATTGCTATGTGTTAGCCTTGAGGGTATCAGTGCCAGAGGGCTGTTACTCCTGAAGACAGGAATTCCTGAATCTAAACTCAAAAGTGCTCATCAGAAGAAAAAATAGCTGAAAAGAGTTTGCATAAAGACAGTTACTGGCAGCAAGAAAATGATACTTTCAGATATAGTCCCTCTCACAGGATTAATATTTGAGTAAGCAAATAGTTCTTTGGCAAATTCTTTACTTATTGCAATGCAGTCAGAATCACAGTGAGATGACTCCATGCATACAGTTGATAATGCAGGGATCACCACAGATGCTTAGAAGGGCTCAGTCAACTCAAGAATGGAATAGGCCTTCTTGTCAAATACATTCCCGTGGTTATAAAAAATTTTTGAGCCAAACCAAATACAACATAAGGAAATGGGGAAAAAATAATCAAACACTAAAAAGGTTTTATATAACAGGGACCTAGAAAAGTCAGAGAAATTAGGGATATTTTCCAGACAAACGGTGATCAAGGTAACCTGCACACCAAGCTATATGGGAATGCCTATTTCCTGCCAACAAGAAGGAAAGGAAGATTACTGTATGTGAATACCTTGTATGTGAAGGACCCTGGACTAGAATGACTGGTTTTCAGGAAAAACACCACCATAAAATTAAAGAAACAGAGAAATTAACAGAGACAGCTACCCTCCTCTGAGAAGTTCAAAACAGAAGACATATAAAGGGCACAAAAGCACTGAACATTTAGTCAGATTTTCTCATTGATAAACATCATAGAGACTATGGAGCCCCCAAAGATTTAAGACTTGACTTCTTTACTGCAGGATCAATTTAGAAGCCAAAACTGCAGAAAAGCTGCTCAGTACCTCTCCTTAATTTCAACAGGTCAAGGAAACATCCATACCTTTTCCATCTCAAATGGAAAATTATTCCTGTACTAACAGCCAGAAACCTTCATCACTGCAGTATCTCAACAGCTCACGGGTATCAACAGACTCATTGCCATCATCCCTGTATGTTCACTCTGCAGGGAAGGTCACATTTGATATGGGGGAAGCAGAGATACAGACAAGGTATGTGATTTACAGGACTTCACAGAAGCAAGAAAACCCACGTGCATCAGACCTGAGAGTGCCTCCACAGCAGCCTGCAGTGCCATTCTGCCAGCAGCATTCTCGGAGCTGTTGCACTCCATGCTGCTGATGTGGCATTCTGGGCAGCCTCCCTAACAGTCCAATCCCCAGTTAAACCAGGAAAAAAGGGATCTGCACTCTTTTTCAAGTTTTATGAGTAAGACATTTCATATATTCTTGCCTTCCCCTTCCAAGGATTAAGGTGAGAAAGAACTGAAGCAAAATACAGACAAAAATTAAAGCAGTAACTGTACCACAACAAACCTGCCTCTGAAGCAAGAAGGAACAGACAGCACCAAAACATCAGATCTGACAGGTTGCTCTGCTACCAATCTGCACGAGCAGGTGAGACATGTCACTCCATGACAAGTATCAGAAATAAAGGATCTTAATGCAACTTCTAGTGTTTTATAAGATTTCTCTCTATTGTGTGGAGGGAGACAACAAGCAGTTCTAACAGAACATGGGGAGATTTTTCTCCCCTGAGCTGCAAAGCTTTAAAATTAGCACTTTGTCTATGCTTGTTCTTTTAATGTCTGCATTTATTAAGGAGCAAAACAACCATGCATCTGAAATGCCAGAGAAATATGGATCCATAAATAATGCCACATTCCTATTCACACCTAATCTAAATATTTATGTAGTAATTTACCAGCAAAAGATGCAAACTATTCTTTAAATGCTACATTGTATTAAAGGTTAACCACGTGACATGTTTTATTATAAGGCACTGAATTATGTTTAACACAAATTTTTATTTTCAGTGAAAGTTCTGGTGTTGAAATGGATGGACAGGGACAAGGAGTTTTAGTCACCTCTAAAAGACTAATGCTGAAGTTCAGACCTCTTCAGTATTTTTCCAGTCCACACAGCCATAGGCCATGCAACTCAGCAGCACACTGATTGGGAGAGGAAGGGCCACCTTCTTCACAACTAGAAGAGCTAGAAATGGCTCTGTCAGGGAGGCTTGGTGCTTGCAGCAGGCCTGTGGGTGCAGAGCTGCACTCAGACACGCAGCCCCCACTGGAATCGGGGCCACATCAGAAGGGCTGTGCATGCCCCTGCTGAGGGAGGTGTTAAATGGAACAGCAGAACTGCCCCCAGCACAAGCACGTGCCTCGAATCTCACAGCTGCTAGACGCAGCCTCACCCTGACAGCGAGGGAACACCTCTGTGCCCAGTATCTCACACAGGAATTCCTGATCCACTTCTCACTCAGTCCTACAAAACCCAGCTCCTCTCTCACTTCATGTCCTGCTGCAGTCATCATGACATATTTATGGCCGTAACTGTTCCTTTTGGCTCCTCCTTCAGCTCTCACCTTCATGCCTTCTGTTCCTAAAACCTTTCATATTAGACATAGTTTCCAACTTATCTTCTATTTTCTCTCTTACACAAGGCTTTCTTTAGAAATATTACTTTGCTGACTTCGTTTCCAATTCTCTTGATCTCTACGTGATCTTCCACATAGAACACTTTCTTCAAGTCATCACTTTCCTCAGATGCAAGACCTTTGAAGCTCACTGCAGACTCAGCCATGCAGGAACTGATACAAAGATTTCCCAGTGTTTTCCGTTTTCACTAACAGAGCCCCTTCCATTTACATTACACTGAGAGAGATCCACTCTTGTGTGACTTTTTGAGCCTACAACATGCCACAGTTTTCAAGGCCGTTAAACAGAGGGGTAAAAAAAACCTCACGCTTAAGTTTAAGCAGTGCTCTGGAAGCTGAATATCTTCCAACTTGTAGTATAAGAAATAAATGAACACTACTGCCAATATGCCACCTCCTGTACTGAAACTCTCACGAGAAAAGGAATTCCCCAGGTCTAAGCACAAGGTATACACAAATAAGCATTATGACCCATTTTAAATGTCCGACTTCTTCACATTTCCTTTGTGACTGTTAAAGCAAATACCTCTAACTCAACAGCAGAAAAGACTCACTTTTTCCAGAAAAGGCTAATCAGACACAGCAACATGAGATGCAGTAATGCTCCCTGCTTCAGCAAGAGGTGAAGCACAGACTTATTGACAGAATCTGCATTTTTGGTTCTCATGTGCTCCGCCTGAATAAGCTCACCAATCTGAGACAACACTTTCAGACACTGGTATTTTGAACACCACTGGTCTCTGGGGCTATCCTTTTTCTGCACCTCACTGTATTTAAATCGAAGAAACCTTGGCAAAAAAACAGAGGAAGCTGGAAGCATAAGTGTTCATTCTTAAGTTGCAGTAAAATCTTTCATTTCAATGATATACAGAAGTACTTGGAATGTATTACAGCTGATAAATGCAGAAATGAGGTATAGAATACTACTGAAAATAGACCTTATTTGTATGCACGCCATACAAATATGTTAAAATACGTAGTTAAATATGCTGTTGGAGTTAAGTAGCTTTCATAGAAGAGAATCATTGCAATTATCAGTGGTAATAGCAAATCCTCTCTGATACAGATGTTTACTTCCTGTTCTAAGAACTAGGGCAGGAAACAGCCATGTTAAAAATATTTGTATAGCACCAGCCATAGTGTTCCTATTTGTTACAGCTAAGTGTACAACCTGTAACAAAAATAGATAATTTTTTCTTTCTCCCCCTCCAGCAAAACTTAATATATTAAAAACCTTTAGTCAACAACCAAATGCCTGCTACCATATTTTGGCACAAGCTGTCTCTAACTACAGTCCTATCTCTTCAGTTAACAACTGGAACACAGAATTAGTCATCTCTAGGAAACAGATAGCATTAGCTTTCCATCACAAAAAGCTCAATTAAAGCCCATTTGAGAGAAGCTGAGCCACTTCTTTATTGCATTTTTTCTTCTCCCTGCCTCTTGATAGCTAGGCTGAACCTAAATATCATTAACTGCTGTGAAGGCTAATATGCAAAGCCTAAGCACAGACCTGACTATGCAAGTGCCTCTCTCAATTCTGATGCATGGGGGGAGAAAGAAAAAAAAGAAGTCATCCCCATACAGACAAAGCTTCTCCCCCATGTCCCCATGTTTACTTCTTGCCAATTTCTTTTGTAAAATGGGAGAGGTGTAACTGTCTGTTCAATTTTTTAAATTTTACTGTGTGCCTTCTGTCTCTTAGAACATGGCAAATACTGTCTCTACACTATATCCCTAGTACTTAGAATGCAAAACACTTTATGACACTTCTAGCTCTGGGAGAAGAGAAAATGAAGCATGAAATAAGAAATATACTAGCAGAACAATATTCATTGACACTGGTGAATCTGTATACTGCTGCACTGGGAAAGTATTAGTATTTGGGGTTTTAGGCTTTTTTTTCATATGTTTGCCCAGCCTGTCTGATGCCAATGGCATGTCTGCCCTTGCAGCTTTTCCATGTAACATGCAACTGAGACACCAAATTCATCAAATTATGCTCAAATCTGGCAGATACATACATTCTCATTTAAATGACAAATATTTTTAAGCCAAACTATATAATTATCCTCACAGTTCTTCATAAACCACCCACCCCTGATAAAACACAATCCCATTTGTTGAAAAGTCTGAGCCCAAACACAATGGAAATAGAAATCTTTTCTCTCCTAGCAAGAGTCTAGAACTAATAATAATAATATTTTCTTTCCTAGCAAGGGTCAAGACAACAGATTCACAAACAATAAAGCCATAAGCACGGAACAAAATATATTAAAAAAACATCTTGACTGACCAAAATCTGACTTTGGTTGAAAAAATATTTTACAAATTATGCTTTGTTTCTTGCAGCTGGTACTGAAATTGAAAGAAAATGGCACAAAAAAGAAGAAAAAAAATCACATTCTCCAAGTCCATTATGACCAGCAATACTCAATTTAACATGCACTAATTCAATCAGCCTCACACTGATATTAGATAATGTGTCTTTGCACGGGTTTTAATATACAATAGTAAAAATTCCTGCATAAATATACACAGGCAGTCACAGTGCCCTAAAATTTGTCACATCCAACAAGTAAGAGTTGGGCAAACAATAATTGGAAGAAAATGCATAGCAAAAACAGAATAAAGAATAAAAACAGAATAAAATCTGCTTTTCAGAGCAGTCTTCTGAACCTCAGCCCCAGAAGAGCAGTGATGAGAATCAGCTGTCTACCAGAATATCCTGGTCTGGTGTGTGGCAGGAAAGGTGTGGGAGCCTCCACAGCACAGAAAACGTAGGGACTGCCATCCTGCAGCAGGTGTCCAAGCAGAAGCAGATTTATGCATATCAGGCTAATCAATACTAAAATGGATCATATCTCAGCCACCTAGTGCCTCATGCCAGGAATTCAAATAGCCTGAAAAGCCCTTCTTTTGGAAAACAACTGGTACAACCCCCTTCAGATGCCACTTGTACTGCTGCCACCTCTCTCACTGCTCAGGAAAATTTCCCCTCTTATTCTACTTTTAATGGAAAAACCTTCCATGTGCTGTAGGAAGGCACAAGACAGATCAGCACATCTTTGGGTGAACTACTTAGAAATTTGGCTAAAGTCATTATAGCTAAAAGACAAAAGTTTAAATCTTTTACTAGTGATTTGCTTGAATTATACATCGGATTCGTACTAATGTAATAGGGAACTTGGAATACGCAGCCCTGATTTACCAGGGATTCTCTCATGAGGAATTATTTAAAATAAAGAAGGTACAAACTAAGTGACAAAAAGCAAAGATAAATGTCACAGCACTCATTACTAGCAGGCCCAGTGTAACACTGACTGGGTCAAAGCTGCAGCACTGGGTATTTATAATTGAACACATAACAAGTACATAAAAATCACTCTGTGTACGTCCTCTTTTATTTATTTTCTTCCAGTGTCTTGAGGGAGGACCATTCCCACCAGTTTCACCTCTCTTCAAATCTACCTGGACTCTTTTTGAAGGGAGAAGCTGGTATTTCATGGTTTCTAAACCATTTCCAAAGCCTACCACCTTGGTCTCAATATATTTTCAAAGAACAAAAGGAACCCAACTACCTTATACATGCAAAAAGCTCACCCATAGTTGTAACTGTACAACACAGAACAGCAAAAGAATTTTCTCATATTTTGCAGCCAATTTAGTTATAGACCACCACAAATGGACAATTGGTTTTTGCATCCCCCCCTTCCTTAAGATAGGGGGGAGGCAAAACTGCCAGGGGAGGCAGCAAAAACAAAAGATGACTTTCAACATCCAGAGTAGAACATGCAACATAGCTAATGCTTTTTTTATTTTCATCCAAAAAATGGATGGGGTCCTATTTACAAGAGATAAGATTGGGGACAAAAAAAAAAGGTGCTTAATGCATTCTTTGCATTAAGGATAATAGGAATTTGGTACAAGTGTCTTGTATTTCCTGCTACATAAATGAAGTCATTGACTAAAACCCCAAAATAATCTCATGCCACAAACACCACACACCACTCATCAGAGCCGAGATGCTGACATTTGCTGCAGGGCTGGTACTGCTGCACAGAACTTAGGCACATAATCCACCTCTAATTTAACTAGAATCTATTCTAGTCTGTACAAGAACTACAATCTTAACTGCAGAATATGTATATTTTTCCCTTGATTGCGTCTACTTGTTCTTTCAAGGGCATTCCCATTAGGAACAAACACTTCTCCATCCTCTCTCCCCCTGAAAGCAGAGTGAAAATAATCCTATCAAGGGAAACTTATTACTGTTTCCAAATTGCGCCTGGCTCTCAGCAGGCACACTCTCCAGGCAACAGTTTTGCCGCTACATTATAACTAATTTTTATTTTTTTTTCCACATGACATTTTGTACTGTAAGTAGGTATAGGAAGGACAAATATATGTGGTTTGGGACGAGAAAGAACCTTCTTGAGCCAAGCAAAGAATCAGTGTCTCCCCTCACTCTGCACCCTTCTGCAAAGAAATTTTGTTCTGCCTCCTCAGAACGATTTCTTAGCACGTTGCACCGTGGTCAAAAACAGACCCTTTCACAAATTAACGCTGCAAGACACAGACAAAACCAGTAGTTTGTTCAAATTTGGAGCTCCTGGCTAGAGAGGATAATGAAGAAATAAAAGGCAAGAGGGGAAGGAGAACAAAAGAAAGCCCAAAGCCTTCGCTCGAGCCCCGTACCTGGACGCGGCACTCGCTGTCCAACGCTGCCACCTGGTGGCCGCGCGGGGCGGCGACACGGCCGCGGCTCGGGAGCGTCACCGCCGCTGTCCCCCGGCAGCCACAGCCACCAACCCCTCACAAAACCCTCTCCGCTTCCCGCTCCCTTTGTTCTTATCGCTTTCTGCATAAAAATCCGAACAGATTCACCAGAACGCTTTAAATAAACTGTTCCCCGCACAAGGGAAAAAAGAAATATCTCAAACGAAGACATATGCAGCGGAATTAAATGTAGCGCATTTGATTTTTAGTGAGTAGATAAAGAGCAATTTTTTAATTAATTCAAGTTAAATCCACTAAAGGCTGCTTCAAGATCAATTAACAAAAATGCCTCAAAGTCACAGGCCATTATTTCAGACAAAGGGAAACTTACCCAAATACATACCAAGGAATTTATGTGTAATTTCTA